TTCCGGTTAAAGAGGTCCGGAAATTGGAGTTTTGAAACAAAGATCACGACTGCCCCCTGCCCCCACCGCCACCCACAACCAGTACCCAGTACCAGTACCGGTACTACAATGCCATGCACTCCCAAAATATCAACAACTTAACGAGATATCTACAAAAAAACTACAAAATGCATATTTGGGAATACAGATTTTTTTCATAACGAATTGCATAAAGCTAGCAAAACTACAATGGCACAATTTACATGCATATTCAGTATGTAGGCTGTTTCTATTTGTTTTTGTTCTTTCTCCCCTTCACTTCTCGCGTACGATTTACTTTTCCATGGATATGGATGTATGTAGTATTGAAGCCCCTTTCTTTCGTTTTTCCCCTTTTGATTTTTGGTCCACAAATTCATCTTATACCCTATATTATTTTGTTGGAATTAGGAAGCTTGAGATATCAGACAGCAAAAGATGTCCAAGCTCTTAACTCCAACCATTTGGAATATAGAAAAAAAAAAAGAAAAAAAAGAAAGGCAGGCCCACTTTGCCTTCAATATCTTAAGCTGTATCTGAATTATTGAACGCCAAACATTAATTGTTGCTCTTGCTCTGGTCATGATCGATCATCATATGTACTTTCACAATGCATATAGTAATTAAATTGAAGAAGAATAATAAATATCCAATATGTATAATTATTGGGGAATTAGAATAATTTTTACAAGTAATATAGTAAGTAAGAGGTTGTGTGGCGGGCATTATATTAGTTACTGTAATGTGATATTGTAATGGTAAGAGAGACAAGGTGTACCAATTGATGCCATATTTATAAAGGCAATGATTGCTTGGCTATGGATGCTGTACTCTACTGCTGCCTCACATACTTTGGCCTTTGCTCTTGTTTAATATCTCTAAATATATTTAGAATGTGAATGTGACCTTCACTTCCATTCCTTCCTTAATATCTCTTTCCATCTTAGGCAACTAACAAGATTTTTATCTCCACCCACCTATCACCTATCACATTTTTTAAATCAAATTTCAATTGCATGTCGTGGCTACTTTTTATTTTTATTTTAATAAAAAAAACAAATATTTTATAAATAATTGATTTTTTTAATTAGTACAACAAATTAAATATGGCGGGAGTTTGAACCAATTTTATTAAAAAAGTAGTAAAAATGCCTTAACCTTTAAGCTTGGGCTCATGTTGCCTATAATTGATATAGAAATTAAGTTCCCTGGTTTGCCTATGGTTTTCCCTTTCATACTAGACCTTTATTATGTTACGTTATACATACAGGCAAGAAAGATATTTATGGTCATGTTTTTAAAATCGTATTAACTTCTCTCATCAAAATTTTCTACATACATGTTTCATGTCTAATACTTTTGGATACAATTCTAGAAAAAGAAAAAATAAAAAAATGAAACGAGAAAGAGGCAGAGGTGTTTGGGCAGTTAACATCTGGAAATTGTGATTATTCTATTTATGAGTTTGAGCAACATATGCAATACAATATGTGTTGAAGCTGGATGGAGGCTTTTGGGGAGAGAGTTTGAGCAATGCGTAACTCGTGAAAGTTTGGAGAAGAATTAGATTCACGTGGTTTCCAAGCGTTCATGTTATATTTACATGTTTTCCAGCCCCAGAATTCTGTTGAATTTAATGGTGAAGGATGGCATTATTGGTATTTATGATAATTTAATCTGGGAACAAAGGCACAAGTAAAAACAGTTAATTTGGGAATAAAAATTGTGTATGTAGCTATATTGGTTGCAACAAAGAGCACACAAATTAAAACCGAGCACCCAATATCTAAAATGAGAAGGTTTTAATTTGGTGGTATAACATCTCCTAAATAAACAGGGCACAAGGTATAAAGTTTCCACGTGAAGTATTGATAGCAGTAAATGCATGATTTACATGCAATTTCCTTTTGTGCAAGCTTTTACAAAAGATTCTTCATTAGACCTCATGCTGTGCACTTCAAAAATAAGTATTTTCATGTTGCCAAGACCCCACGAGAGGTTTTCTATCATCTTAATCAACCCATCTACATCGGAAATTCAGACAAGACATTACACCCTTTTTCTCCACGTGCACTTCACGTGGATCGTTATATGTCATTCGAAAACCCAGATATTGCAACTGCTACCCTCGCTAGTTAATTTGTTGGTACTTTTCATGTTTTTGGCCTCACGACCACGCATACACCATTTTCAAATTTGGGTTGACAATTATGCGCAAACATCTCAAACTACGCACCAATTCACGGTCGATGCTTCATCCATCCATCTATTTTGAGAGAGTAGCCTGTAGTTTTACCTCGAGAAATTTCAAAACGTATTTCAAATCTATATTCAATGATGATTAAGAAACATACACGGGTTTTAAATCTGCTTCGTCTAGTGGTACTAAAGGACAATCACATTTATGGGGGCCTAATTCAATATATTTTCTACCGTCTGCTAGCTAATCGTGTGCATCCGTACCATTGTCGATTTTGCCTCTATTTCTTCACTCGGAATAATAGTGTAGTCGGTGTGTGTGTGTATTAGTACGGTCATACGCAAGTACAAAATGCAGAGTGTAAAATCTCTGTCACTAATTTACATGTTATATGCCAACAATTGTGGAGGTTGCTCAAGTTGACTTCTTCTGCATTGGCACTATTGGAGCCATGTGAATAATAATGTTGATCAAAAAGGATGATGAGGAGGGACCAAAGAACTTTTGAATAGGAGAAAAACCGAAGCACTCTTTGATGTATTGATCGAATTTGAGCTTGAAGAATCATGCAACCTCGATGCTAATCACTTTCTCCATATTAAAGTCATTAATAGTACTCCATCCACTTAAACTTACAATTTTGCCAAAATTGGTTTTACCTACCATGAATATGAAATTATAATCACCTTTTATTTGATACCATATTGAATAAGATATGTATCTTTAATCTAAAAAACTGAAGCTTTTGCGGTAGTAATGAAAAAGTAGTAACAATGCTTCACAATTTTGCAAAACTAAAATCTCGAGGCCTAGCCTTACGAAAAAAAATAAAAAGTCTAATATAACTCTTAATAAACACGAAGCCCAAATAATGATATACACCTATATATTTGATTTGATATATCCTTAAATCTTTGATATATGACTTAATATATCATTAATATTACTGATTATGAATGTTGATATACAAATGATATACTTGGTATATTACTTCTTTTTTAAGAAAATATATTACTTCTCTTCAATGTATTTAGTTTCTCATAGTGAATTGTGCTGTGTTACTTACAATTTTAGATGAAATATTTTTTCTTTATAACTTAAATATTTGTCATCTATACCTAATACGAATGTTGAAATTATTATTGATATACATAATTTGTTATATTACTAAAGAAATCAATAATGCAGCTGAATATACCTGATTATGAGTATTGATATACCAATAATATACTTGATGGATGTTGATATACCAAGCTAATTTCCGTCGCGTCGGGTCGGGTCGGAACTCGTGTCCGAATTTCCCTTTGTGCCCCACGTAGTACCCGCCTCCTCGTTTCCCCACTCCCTTCCCCTCCAGCAACCTTCCACGGGACTTCGGAGGTAAATCGATCGGAATGGGCTTTGCGGCCCGTCTGGTAACGTAGGCTTTGACTTCCACCGGCCCATCAACCCAACTACACGTTACTGGGCTTTTTCCTGGATTTTTTTGTAGCACGAATTGTCGTATTTGCCCTCATTTGAGTTTATTTTTTCAAAAAATGCCCTTGTTTCAATTCTATCCATTTCCGCAGTTGAGTTGAGGCTTGTTAAATTTTTAAAATAAAAAACGAATCCCATCGCTGGCTGTTTTGGTCCACCCCTACGCTCTTCTTTTGATTAAAATACACCTCTTAGTCTATAAAAAAAAAACAATTTAGATGGTCTCATACTAATAGAGATAATTGTACTAATTTATACACTATGAATCATACTCTTCCCTAGCAACTGTGAGATTTTGTTTGCATTCCCCCTACAAACCCAACAATTAACGGTTGGTCTGATTCTAACAATTTCAAATAGACCTCACCTTTAGTTCAGTCAGTTTTGGTAATTTTGACCGATTTAGGATAAAAAAAAAGGGCGTCACAAATGGAGCAGGGGCTATCCGATGGTGGGGAAACCATAGCCGCAATTGGCAGTGCATGGTGTGTCGCTACTGCTGGATGGGGTGTTTGTGGAACCACCTGCGATGGAGTGGGCTTGGACGCCTCAGTGTTGATGATGGGGAGGTATTTTTCTCTTTATAATTATTTTGGAATAAAATTTGAATCCTACTAATAAGTAGCAATCTTGTCCTTACCACCATTAAATAGTGAGAGAAATGCAAAAACAACTAACTATTTAAATTTTTGCATTTCTCTCACTTCGTTGCCAAATATTTAATGGTGGTAAGGATAAGATTGCTCCTTACCAGTGAGGAACCAAGTTTTATCATTATTTTTGAACCAATCCACCCAGCTAACTATTTAATTTGTACACCTGAATTAATCACATCATAATTCTATTAAATCTAATCTTTTTTTTTATGATAAGAACAAAACTGTAATCTATTTTAAAGTAAGGAAACTTAATCTATGTTATGTAATTAAGAAAATCTAAAATATGTTTGTTTAGAACTTTAATATCTGTCAAACACCTGTCTGAATTGATATTTTATATTAGTAAATTCTTCGGCCTTTAAAGTGGTACTTTCCTAAAATCCAGAGTATTTTGCCGGTCACCAAGAATCCTGAACTGGAGGAAATGAAAGAGTTGATTTTTGCTACTAATTTTATGTTATGGGTGGATGGTTTCTCTCTCATACTTTATCCAGAAGAGGCAGAGAGAATTTGGAAATGGTGTGGATGAATGCATCCCGCTGACTGCTGAGGAACTCATTAACTTTACCTCTTTTTCTTTGTTAGTTTTAGTGGAAAAATTGGCGATTCAAAGGAAGGGGATACTAGAAAATTGGACTCTTTTGTTGTGCTTAGAAACAATTTATTCATTGGTGAATAATTTAATATAACAAAACAATACTCACAAAACAACATCTGTAATCTGTAATCTGTGGTTGAATATAAGCATTAAGCAACACGAATCCAGCAAAATAAAAAAGAAAAATGGAAAAGCAAAGACAAAGACAGACGTAATTATTGAATGAAATATTATATTATATATAAAGCACTGCCAATTCCCAAGCCGATTGAGAATGATCATAGCAGAAAGAGGGCGGCAAGCGAAGCTCCAAAGATGAAGAAACGAGTGGAGGCAGAGGCGGAGGGGGAGGGGGAGGCGGCGCTGGGAGTGGGAGATGGAGGGGGCGGCGCCGGAGTGTTGGGCGGAGCCGGAGACGAAGGAGTTGGGGTGGAGTTGGCGGCGAGAACATTGACCTGAAGCTTCATGCCGCCGCCACAGTGACCGAGAGTGGGACAGATGAAGTACCTTGGCCCTGCCGCCGACAGAGGAATGGACGTGGCTCCCCCTGTGTGGGATCTGATCACCGAGGTCGACGAACATGTCTTGTAGTCTGCCTCACTCACCTCGTCCACTGAATGACTCCCACCATAATTGAATACTGCCATAATACATAATACATATTAAATTTTATAAAACTTTCTTGTCATCAAATTTCTCTATACTCATTTCTATTCTATATGGTTACCTAATGAGTCGCCAATTCTAAAGCTCTGTTTTGCAGCCCAGGCATCGTAATCAACTCCCTGATCCCACCCAGCGGCGTCGCCCACCCTGATATCTGCTCCACAGACCACACGCAAAGCTACTACCAAAATAACAAGAGCAGCACCCCCTTTCATGCCCATTTCTTTTCTCACAGAAACAAAAACAGAAACAGAAAGAAACGATGATGATGGTGATGCTTAATCAATAATGCTACAGATGTTTATATAGAGAGGAAAGCTCCACCCACTTACCCCTTACCCCTCTGCCCTCCAATTTTAAATATTCTCTCTTTTCTTTTATTCTGGCTAATGTCAATCAACTAATGCATATTAAAAATAATAGAATTGAAGCTGTTATCATTTGACCTGGGCTGTTCTTAGTTGGACTTTTCTTCCTAGCTACCTAATGCATTTCCTTAATCTTCTGTTTCTTGACGCTTTTTGTAACCAATGATAACTCAGAGGCTGCTAACTTTTCTCAAACCCAGCTGGCGGCTTATTTGGCTAGTGGCTTCATCCATCATCTCTCACGTTTGCCTAATTAGCTCCACACACAAACTCTGTTCAGTTTAAATTTGTTCAAAAATATTTTAATCCTTGGTCGCTAAATTTGTAGTCTTTATTAAGGTATAATTGAGTGATTAAACTTGTATGCTTGTGAAGAAGCCACAGCCAAAGTAGCAAAGTAATTAGCCAATACTATTCACTTGGGAGATAAGAATTAGTAGAGAGAGAGACTACTAGAAGGTCCACATATAAGTCAACATGATTGGATCACCACAGCTCCAAATTGTTTATTGTACCTTTCTTTGTGGCTGCCACCTAACACATGGATAACACAAAGGATTAGGTGAAACAATAATTCCACATTCTTTCCCCTAATTTTGAAATGTTAGACGAAAAAAGTTAGATGATTAGTTAACTTACGAAATAATGTCTTTGAATTGTTCCGTTGTTGATCACCATGTGGCGTTTGGTGTGATAATATATATATACACGAGAGATGAGAGGGGAGGTCAATTTGATCTATAGATTGATGGATGTATTGCCAAGAGTGGGCAGAACTAGACTTTGTTGAATAATCTAATTTATAATTAAATTTACTTGCCAAAGGTTTAAATTAGAGTAAAGCTCTTATCTACACGGAATTCTAGAAAAGTTTATTGAATTGGTTCAGGTCGTCCAAAACCTTTCTTACCAAAGATCCAAAAGGCTGAATTCTTGATATAAACCTACGAGTCCAACCGTTTAAGGAAACATAACTCAGCAACAATTGACATGTATCTACCACTAACAGATTATGAGCTCAATCCTTCATCCCCACATGTTGTATTAAAAAAAAAACCTACAAGTCCAGCACATGAGCTAAGAACCATAAATCAAGTCCAAAGGCACAAGGTCGAGCCCATGAATCAACCACATTGCATTGAAATTTATTGAAAATCTTTTGAAAAATAATATATTTATCAACAAAACATTCAAAACCTCTAAAAAAAGTGTTAGAATTATTCACTTTTCATCAAGTTATCAAAAACCTTCGAAAAAGATATACATTTATAAATAACTATATTTTT